AGGCTTTTGTCCTTGACCTCCTCGAAGGACATGCTGGGCAAGTCCAGCTTCATGAGCTCAGCACGCACGACGGCTATGAGGTCCTGGTGGTTTGCCCGCCGCGCCTTGCTGATTCCGCACAGGAGACGCTTTGTGCCAGTGGCGGGGTCCTTGAACTGCAAGTACGACTGGTCTGTCGCCTGAGTGATGTAAACCGAGCATGTGTCCTCGGCACAAGCCGGCTTTTTCATTCCGGCCGGCTTTTTCATCGCTGCCGGCTTTTCCGTTGCGGCGGCAGGGCGCTTTTTTGGGCTGTCGATCTGCTTCGGCACCTCTGAGGGGTACTCTGCCCCATCTCCAAACCTGCCCCAGAGCCACGGAGATCCAGGTTTCTGGAACATTTCAGCCGACTCCACTGAGTTCGCCTGCAATCTCACCAGCAGGCCCGAGCAGTGGTCTGTGTAGATGACCGCCTCTTTGTCGCCCAACGAGGATTTCCCTGCCTTGTCATCAGAAGACCCCGGCTTCTCGAGATCACTGGTCTGAGTCAACAAATCCACCACCGAGTGCACCGACTCCCTTTCTGCCAGCTCTTGCAAGAAATCCTGCAAGCTCTCCTCGGTGGGTTCTTTCTCATACTTCCGGGGCAGCTTTGCTGCCTTGTCTGGGAGTTCCTCGGTAGAAGTCAGCGCTCGGTATGGGCTTCCAGAGGCAGTCTCCAAAATCTCCTGGATCGCTGGCAGCTGGCGCTTCTGCGTGCTAACGTTACGGCGCTTCGTGTTTACGAAGCTGATCATGTCCAGCAGACTTTGCACTTGGGCTTTAAGGCCACGAGGGCCCTTGTCTTGGAAAAGCTTCTTCTGGTGGAGGTGGTTGAACTTTTGAAGGGGCTGCTCCAACTCCTTTGGATACCAACGCCGCTGGACGCTGAGCAAGCCCTGCAGCAAACTCTTGTGGATCTCCACGCCTTCCTGAGTGGGCTTGCCAACTGGAAAGAGTGGGTCGGTGCCCTGGATGGCAAGAGCCAAAGCCTCTGGGGCGACGCGCTCGCACAGGAGAACATAGACGTTGTGCTGGTCTGACATGTCCCTATATGGAAAACCCTAAGTGGGGGGACACAGCTACAGCTTAAACCGAAAGCCAGCTTGACGACTCATGGCCAGCGAATCTCCTGGGACTCCAAAACAAATACCTTATGGGCCTTGCGAGCACGCGTTCTTAGGAGCCTGCGGCTTCCTGCTTTTTTTGCTTATGCTGTTAGAGGAGCCCGAAGCATACTACTCAATTGCGCCAGCACAAGATGTGCCCGATATGGAAATGGCAAGACATGCCACGCAACGAAATGTGCTGTTGGAGGAGCCCGAAGCATACTACTCAATTGTGCCAACACAAGATGTGCCCGATATGGAAATGGCAAGACATACCATGCCACAAAATGTTCTGTTGGAGGAGCCCGATGGCATCCTAATCAACTGTGCTAACACAAGATGTGCCCGATATGGAAGTGGCAGGACAAGCCATGCGACAATTCAACGAATATACTACAAACATGTGCAGCTGACACCCGTCGGTTGACACGGATCCACGTCAACCCGAATCCTCGTCAAGCGTTTTTTAGACGAATCCTCGTCAACTCGAATCAGCGCTGAAAAAAACGAATCCTCGCCATCGAATCCTCGCCGGAAGGACTGGGTACACAACCAACCAAAGCACAAAAGACCTCCAAGGACACTACAATTCGATCAACGGAAAAAGCAACCAAAGAACCACGACCAATACGACAAAGGATCAATGCAGCAACACTGTCACACCGTCCAACGGAACATCCATCACCTCCTACACAAACGACGGCGCCTCAGAAGGCCAACCCATAATCTTCGACGACGAAGGTTATGACGAAGCGCAGCTACTGGAAGGAATGAACACGAATCAAACCAGATGAAACTACATGACGTCTACGACGAAGTAGATGCGTCTACAGTCGGTGACAACGTCGTCAAAGAAGCAGTCCCTACAAGATGGGCCCACAGAAAGAAAGGAATAGGCGTGCGAAGTAGAATCGTTGCAAACGGCTAGACTGAGAAGATCGAGGAATGCCTGCACACCGATGTTTACGACACTACGGACACTTCTTGCAGATGTCACGGCCAAACTGGATAGTGCGTCTCTACAGCGTTTCTACCTACACCCGTCGCAAAAGACCACGACGCGACGTCTACCTCATTGTCCACTACAGAACAAACTGGCGGCTGAAGAAAGCCATGTATGGACTACGCAGCTCACCTAAAGCATGGCAGGACTACCCTGCTGAAGAACTATAAAAGCTTAGCTTTGTAAGACTAAAGTCAGAACTTTTTTGCATATTGTTGAATACTTTTGCATGGTTTTGCATTTTTGCATCTTTTTGCACATGCAAAAATAAGACAATTTGAGATAAATTGAGGTAAGGTCTAAACCCTATAGATCTGGGACCCCTACTATAATTACTGACAACGTCTACACCAATGCAGCTGGTGACTGCTCATGGTCTCCGTGGACGACCTGTTGGTACTTGGCAACAGGACTACTGTCGACTTCATCTTCGAGGAAATCCAGGAGCAGGTACTACTCAAGCGCATTGGCCACCTCGAACCTGGCAAACCACAGAGGTTCCTGGGTAGAAACATTGAGCGCTGCGGCAACTACTGCACTCTTGGACTTCAGGACTCCTACATCAACAACATGATCGAGAGACTGGATTGACCAACTGCAACAAGGTGACCGCTCCAGGAACCGCCCACTACAAACCAACAATAGAGGATGAAGCACGACTCGACCACGAACAACACGAAAGGTACAGGAGAATTGTTTGTAAACTTCAAGGGTCTGCATACACCAGACCAGACATTGCCTACGCAACAAAAGAACTAGCGCGAGACCTCACAGCACCTACAGAACTTTCACGAAAGAGAGTCAAGCACCTACTACGCTACTTGCACGGCACCAAACACTACACAATTACAACAGAGCCAGCAACAACAACACTAAGAGCAGACACCAACAACATCCTGGATCTCGACACTCATGTCGATGCTGACTGGGCAGGATGCCCTACTACCAGGAAATCAACTTCAGGTTTCAACACCATCTTTCTTGGAACAACAGTTGCATTTGGCAGCAGAACGCAAGGTACAACAGCACTCAGTTCAGCAGAATCTGAGCTCTACGCAATTTGCGCAGGAGTTAATGAGGGACTACACCTCTGAAACGTCTGACTTGAAGCAAACATTTGCAGCATGCTAAACCTACACATTCACACAGACCCCACAGCAGGCAAACGCATTGCTATACACGACAAGGCACACGCAACGAGCAAAACACATCGACCTCAAATTCCTCTACACACAAGACCTCATCAAACACGACATCATTAGAACCCTCAAGATCAACAAAGGGAGCCCGTCCGTTAGTTGCTGTCCGTCCGAAACTGGCCTCATTGCTTTGGGGCGGCATGAAGGGAAAAGTCACACTCCCGTCCGCTAATTGCGGTTTGGGGCGGCGCGCGTTTTATTCACATCAAGTTGCATCCGACACCAGTTTCCTCCCGGAGGTCCTCTGAGGGGTCCTCCCGAACTGACCGGAGGCGGGGACTGCGCCGTCAAATCGCTGGAGCCGACACGGGCGGACCTCGGGCGGCATCCGGGAGGCATTAACGGAAAAGTCAGAAACATAAAAACCCGTCCGTTCATTGCTGCTCCGGCGGCTCGGAGGCTTCTCCAACGTTGGTACCCTTATTCTAAGCTCTCAAATCTGGAGAACCTTGGGGTTTACCTCAAAAGGTCTGGTGAAAACATGGCCACGTCTAGTGGTCTTGTGAAACCTTGACATGACTACGTCTAGTCCCCGAAGTGGGAGACCAGCAAGCAGCCTGCCTCAAGCAGCCTGTCTCAAGCAGCGGCGCACTAGTGGGACTTGTGTTGGTGCATGCTGCCAAGGGATGTTAGGGCTTTAACTTGTTGCCAAATAATGGGTTTTCCAAATTAAACCACTAAAGGTTAAAAACTTTTTGCAGGGGAGCAGAAAGCAGGCGAGTGTCCCATCTGCGTTTCGGGCGCACTTGAACAAGACTCCCTTTCCATACCACAACAGCGCAGATTTGTTCAACAAATACATCAGCAAGGAAACACTACACAGGCTCATTCAGAGCATTGGGATACGCATCTAGCACGACGCGACGACCATCGCAACTGTTTCACAACAACAACGACTTCAAACATTTTTGTATGTAGCCGCAGCTAGATGCAACATGTCACATTTGGTATTACGTAAGTAACAGTAACTACATGCAATGTCACTTGCACTTTTGGCGGCATGCTTGTCGGCTTCAGTCAAAAGTCCATGTTTGTTTGTTTGCATGTCTGCCCGCTTCCTGTTAGTAACTACAGGCTCATTTGCACTACAGTTTCAATTCGCTTTGCTTTGCGACTACAATCCCAAAGGAGGAGGCGGCGATGTCAACTACCCCGGAGACGACTCCGGCCCAACTACCAGTGCGCAACTTTCCTCAAACACTGCAACTCCACTTCCACTCAATGCCAACCTACAGGACATCTACAACCATCTACAACTCGAGCGACTTCAACCTCCACATCAACTAGACCATCCTACTACGAGCAATGCCTGCACTACCAGCTACACCACCAAGTTCTACATTCCCCTAGCTGTTGAGAACTACTGTTTTCTCACTTCAGGACACGATGATGCAACTACAATCAACCTCTTCTATACCACAGCCACTGCAGAGTCAGCTACACCTTTAATCCCACTTCACTCACTACCAGGCAAACTCCGCGAACCCTGCAACCGACTACAGATGATGCATTCTGCTGCAGATGCTCATCTGTGGCATTGCTACAGCTTGACAGAACTACACACCACTGCAAACCACATCAACGACTACATCCTTGTCACAATTGCACTACCCGCCGACTACATCCAGCAATTATTTCATCAGGGACTACATCAGCCACTCCACTTCAATCATGAGCAACGGCACCCTACGCCTCGGTGCACAACTCACCAACTACAACTTCAACGACCTCACCCTGCGCCACACCCTGTCCAATGGCTACATGTGGGACTACCATCTCCTGATCAAGACCCGACAACTACTACACGTCTACAGCGTACACCACAACGACGGCGCGGTCGAGCGTGCTACGCGATGCATCCTCACGGAAACGACAGAATATCACGGTCACTACCTTTTGACCAACACACATGGCTCAGACGCACTACACTCCCAGCTACTACGCGCCAACTACGAATCACAACGCCAGTCATCCGAATCAAGAACTATAACAGGACACGGGGCTCAGGTCAGGAAATCCTGAACTACATGAGCGAGCCCAACACGGTTCAAGCACGACAAGATCTTCGCCAGTCCCAACCAGACTACTGGCGCAACCGCGCGTGAAACTACATGCTGGACTACAACATCAGGTGCTACCTCGTTCAGTCCGACTAAACCAAGGACTGAACCCTGAACAGCGAGAGCTACTGAGGACTACACCTCTTTTCTCTTCACTACAGTAGCATGGATGAGCAACATATGTTTTTTATCATTAATACTGACATTTCCACTTCAGTTGAAAAGATACTACAAGATCTTTTAACTGAGGGACCCTGTCAATGGACATGCGATGTTGTACTACATAGCTTGCACATGACCGCACGCCTTGAGCCTCACTACGTCCAGAGCCCTTGCAAAATAGGAGCTGTGCAGACTACAGGTTTGTTTATGTTAACAACATTACAGCACTTGCACTTGTGGTAAGCAACAGTCCGATTTTAACGAGAGAGAGAGAGAAAGAAAAATGAGAGAGAGAGAGAGAGAGAGAGAGAGAGAGAGAGAGAGAGAGAGAGAGGGAGGGAGGGAGAGAGGGAGAGAGGGAGAGAGGGAGAGAGAAAGGGTGATGGAGAGACGAAAGCCGGGCCCGGTGGAGCTTTCTGTGTTGGAAGTTGCGCGGTTATCGAACAGCGACTAAAAGGTTCATTCTTCCGTCCCTGCTTGTCCCCCGACCCGCAAACCCTGCTTCTTTGTTTCACAGAACGTTCTTTGTTGGATTGTGTGCTCTACTAAAGCAACAGGCTGCTTGTTGCGGTTGCCCACAGCCAACTTAGCCAGAAAGGCTTTGACGACATTGGCAAGCTACTTCGACAAGCTGGAGCTATCTGCAACAAATTCGCTTGCATTCCAGGGGAGGCTCAAATGCGAGGAAGGCAAAGAACGCATGTGTGTGCTGTATACTTTTGTCATCGATGACGTCATCGCATCCGAAATACCAGGGTCGCAGCTCAGCAGCCTGGCAAGGATTGTTGGTTACGTTGACGGGACGGAATTTGTGAAGCACGGTAGCCGAATATTCCTCGGCAGCGGCTCTCTGTGGATCATCCTGCAGTCTGCGAAGCTTGACGACGGGACACTTAGCGGTTGCTTTGATTCTGACATGTGACTTGCTTCAGGGCTTTTGAAAATGTATGTTTAATTTGTTCGCAGTAGGCGAAAAACGTCTATAACGTCAACTGTCTAGCCTAATTGAAATATGCAAGCAGTGTGTCTACTGACTGCAAATCATGTTATATTGTGTGGAACATGGGTCAAGGACCACCCAGATGATTTCAGGAGTCGTGATCTCCTGACTAGGATGATCATCCCAGTGAATGACTGCTCAACAAGCCTAGACTAGGATTTGTCACGAACGACTTGAAACACTGAGTGGCCAGCGACACAGAACTAGAGCTGGGGGACATCCCAGAAGGATAACGGAAAAAGAAAATTCTCCGACTATCTCACCCACCCAGTACCTTGACTGGAGGTTTCGCTGCCAAATTGACAGGACCTTCCTCAGCATTCACAGCCATCTGGAGGAGTGGACGCATCAGCTGCGGCAGTCCCGAGCCGCCTGGCACGCTGCGCGGCTACAGGTGGTCCCTCGGGTTGCTGTCCCGGCGGGGCTGCTGCCGCCAAGTTGCGACCAGTGCGTTCAGGGCCTTTTTTCTCCTTTGTTGCGAGGGTGTCATTGCAGAATCGCGCAACATCCCGTTTCTGTTTCCTTGTTTTCCTTGGGTTTGCCGGGGTGCCCTTTCACCCCCACCCAAACCAAAGGTGATTTTCTTTGCATCCATGGCAAGTAAGGAAGTTGGTGCACGAGCTGGGCACTTCCAATCTGGCAACAGGCGAGGGGGCATAGGTATGGAAACCTCCGGTGTGAGCGTTTGCTCGTCATTTTTGTTGCCCGACAAATAGATGCCACCTGCTTATGGCTCGTCCCCCAGAAATAAGTCAGTTGCACTGTGGGTGGGAAATGTGATGGCCCTGGTTGGTCGCAAAGGGAAGCTTACAGGAAAGGTCTACAAAACAAGGCGTGTGGGCACTCCAGGAACGCATCACACTTGGCCACGTTGGAGTCACACGCACGAAGCAAATCCATTGCAGAGCGAGAGCAGGTTTCGAATGACACAAAGTGCAACAGCATCGAACAAGATCCAAGTGGCAAAGGACATGTTCAGCGCGATATTGGCTAAGCTAAGTTGATGCTGTGCTTGGACTTGCGTGATGTGCTAGTTCTTTGCGCCATTTCACATTCCGGCACGTCTTGCAGGTCCCGTCGTTGTGCTCTCTGCGGACAACTTGCGCCAATTGGTGGCAAAGCGACAGGGAGTCAACCTGTCGCAGCTGCACGTCTTTGAGGGCCCCTGGGGTGAGCTCAGCTTCTCCGAGGCGAAGGACTGACCTCGTGTTGGTGTTTTGGTGTTTCTTTGTGTCATTATATGAACAGGCGGTGGTTTTCCGCAGGCCTACATGTCGAAGGGGATAGGCGACCCTGGAAGGACTGGAAGGTCCTGATGCAGGACAATCTCAGTCTCAGTCAGAGCCTTCAGAACTTGGCCAAGAGGACCTTTGCGGCTCTTCAACCAATGTCAAATCTCGCGCGGTTGCTGTCGTGTTTGTTGTTCAGTTGTCATCCGGTTTTGACTTCATGGAAGTACTATACGGGCCTACACAACTAAGGTTGTCAGGTCTTTAAAGCCAAACTACGTCATGGTCACAAGAAACCATGGGTCCAATTAATGTTTAGCCCCTGCATTTGTCAGCATCAACTTTAGAGCCTCCGGCTCAGTCCGCCGACATTATCCTCTCCCTGTTCTCCTTGTTCCTCTCTCGCTTGTCTCTCTCGTGTGTTCTGTCGTCCTCTCTCCCTCCCTCTGCTCCCCATCCTCCCCATCCCCAAGCCTCTCTCTCCTCAATCTCCCTCTCCCTGTCTCTCTCTATCTCTCTATCTCTCTCTCTCTCTCTGTCTCTGTCTCTGTCTCTCTCTTTCTGTCTGCCTGTCTCCTTCCTGTCCACGCCCCTCTACACTCTACTGGAGGACCTAGTTTCTCTCTCTCTCTCTCTCTCTCTCTCTCTTTCTCGCTCTTTCTCTTTGTCTCTCTCTCTCTGTCTTTCCGTGTCTCTCTTTCTCTGTCTCTCTCTTTCTCTCTCTCTCTCTCTCTGTCTGTCTCTTTCTCTGACTCTGGCTCTGTCTCTGTCTCTCTCTCTCTCTCTCTCTCTCTCTCTCTCTCTCTTTCTCGCTCTCTGTGTCTCCTTCTCTCTCTCCCTCTCTCTCTCGCTCTCTCCCGCTCTCTCCCTGCTCTCTCTCTCTCTCTCTCTCTCTGCATTGCAGCGTCACGTCTCCCCTGAGTTGCCTCGATGTCCGGGCACTGCCCCTTCATGACCCTGTCATCTCACTACTGGCTTTCCCCTTGATGTCCCCTTCATGCCCTTTTCACGTTTCCCATGATGTCCTGGTCATGTCCCTTCCATTCCTTTCAACTCCCCCTTCATGTCCCTGATACTTTCTCGGTGTGTCCGCTTCATTCTCCATGTATGTCCCGTTCTTTCGTTGCGAGTCATGTCCCTACATCTCCTGTCGTGCCGATTGGTTTCCTTGTGCTTTGTTTCCCTTTCATTCCCCCTGCACTCCCCTTGTTTTCATTTCTGTCCCTTTCATGTCCCTTTCAGTTCCCTTTGTTTCCCTGTCATTTCCCGTTGCTTTCCTGTCATGTCAACTTCCTATTTCCTCCCCTCATTTCCTTGCACTTCCTTGCATTTCCCCTTTGCTCCCCAGTATTTCCCGCAAAAAAACACGGTTTTTCCAGCGTTTTCGCAAAGAGGACATCCAAAAACACAGAGTTTTTCCAGATTTTCGGCAAAAGGATGCAGGAAACCCAAACCAGCAAAGAGCCGGCAGGGGGAATCGAGCCTGGGACGGCTCCCCGAAGACTACGTTAGTGGAACGTCATCAAATTACCGCACGGTACGTGGGGGACCCCCTGTACCCTACGTATCAAACGTCGGGTCATCCTCTATCCTCTCTTAGGTGGCCGACACGCCGAGTAATGTCGGCGGACATTTCATTGGAAACACACTTTCAGGCCCAATTTGGAGATGCTAGAGCCAACGTTGCGCTTTGCTGTCATCAGCCGTTTGCTAAGGGCAGACAGCTATGGGGCGACTCCCCGGAGTTCCACGGCGCTGCCTTCCTTCTGCACCACCAGAGGGCTCACCTGGTGTCAGCGGCACAAGTGGGCGTGGTGTCGAACGCAGCTGCTGTGGCAAAGTCTCCTGCAGAGTTCCTGAAATGGGTTATTGAGGCGCAGCTTTGCATATTGTGTTTGGGTTTCCGACAAAGTCTGTCTTCCCGATTGATTGCTCAGTTCCAGTTGGATAGTTTTGTTTGCGTGTTCCAAAAGCTGTTTGCCCGATGTGTTAGCTGTTGTTCGCGGGTAGTTTGCATTCAGTTGATTTTTCCGCTCATAGTGACGCCCTGATGGCGATCTGCTGCTCTAGCATTAGCGCTTAGAATTGGCCTAAATCTGAGTCAGTGTTCGGGGACTTTTACGGGGCTTGGTTTTTTGCCTTCCCAGAGGCCTGCTTGGAGGCTCGTGGTGCTTACAATTTGTTTGCGTTGGTTGCTTTTCAGTTGCCAAACTTATGGCAGGCTTAGCAAGGTTAGCGGGGTGCAGTTGCACCAGATAGGTGCGTCAGTTACCCAACTGAACAAAGATTGACAAAGATAGTTATGTATCTGCGGTAAACTGTTTGTGGCAAGAAGTTATCAATGGTCAGGCTGACACGTTCGTCCCTCAAGTGCCAGGGGCAGGGCAGTGCGACGCTCACTCGCAAGCAAATTGTACATTGTAAGTGTTGACCGACTCGCGCCGCGGGCAGGGCATTGTCATGCTCGCTCGCAGGCATACCGTGCATGGAAAGTGCTTATTTTACCTCGGCGCGGCGATAGCATCCGTCCCTTTGCGGGACCAAACCCACAAGCTAACAATGGTGTGGCTCTCCACCAGCACGGGATCATCACACACTTTGTGCATGAAGTTTGAAATGTGCGCCCGTGGATTTAGACACGTCAACAAGCGCTGGCCTGATTGCGCGTGCCAGCAAACCTCCGCCACAAGCAGTGCCCCATCCACATGGACTTGCACCACGTCTCGCGCACGAAACCCAGTTTGCATGCTACCTCGCTCGCTGTCGTGACTGGATCTTGGAACCCAAGCTCCAGTAGAAAGCGCTGGAGCGATTTGGACGCAGCACGAGGCTTCACCAGAATACATGGCCTTGCAAGTGGCAACTCTGCAGGGTCATCCAGTGCCAGCAACTGCGTGTGCAGGACATCACTGAGCAAGCTGGTTTCAAAGGCTTTGCTAGTGTCTGTCAATTGGTTTGCAAAGCGCTTCACGAGCTTATGCTTGCGCTCGTGTACAAAGCACGAATGCAACGTGCCATGCCTTTCAAAAAACAAAGGCAAATGCAAGGCCATGTGGTTCTTGGGAACCCAGTGCTCCTTCCCCCATGTGTCCAAAAATGCGCTGGAATGTTCGTGGATGGCCTTGGCCAGGTCATTGCTGCTCACTGGCTCCCCGCGGCCTATCTTGCATAGGAAGTCCATCACCGTGCAAAGTAGCAAGAAGGACCGGCATGCTTTGTGCACCTCTCCCACCGCTTTCGGCACGACAAAGAGCAAAATGTACACGCGTAACAGCGGCAAGATGTTGAGGAGCTCTGAAGCAGAGCACTTTGCTGGCTCGCTTCTGGATTCCCGCTTCGAAAAAATGTTGACAGGCTTGGCACCCCTGAGCTGGGCAGGCCACTTGAAGGAGTTGAGGAACTTGTTGACTTGCCCTGTGGGCCAGTCTGATTTGGCTAAAACTCCGAGTAACAGCCCACACTTAGTGTTTGCAATTCCGTGGACAAGATAGACGTGAAGGTAGTCAAACATGACAGCGCTCACGCCTTCAGAAAAAGACGCCAAATTACTGCTCTCACTCACGACGTTCTGGCACAGCATGCACAGCAGCGTGCCCGCCGACCCCTTGTTCTCAACTGTCTGCTTTAGCGCCACCTCGTCTGAGACGAAGTATGCCAACTCGGCAAACAGCACGCGCGCGTTGCCCTGTGGATTCAGAAACACGCCAGCCCCGGCGCGCCGAAGAATACGGGAAGCAAGCTTGCCCAAAGTATGGACATCCCGCCCATCGAGGCAACTGTTGACGACTTCAAGGCTGTGAGCGCAAACCAACAATTTTCACAGGATAAGGCCCTCTGACCCAGCTCGCGGAAAGACCAGTAGATGGTCTGCAGCTTGTTGTTGTTGTGATGGCGAAGCTGATTTCCTGGAGCGCCATGAGAGAACGGGCGCCCGCGCGCAGGGCAAAGAAGTTGGACCTACGAAACTGGAAAAACAAGCGGGAAGCTGCAAAATGTCAGGAAGGCAAGCCAAAAGCAAGTCAATCTGGCTGTGTAAGCTATAAAAATCCATGATTCAACGCCATGTCGACACACCGCAAGCCACGCATGTTTTACTGTGGTCTAGCGCTGCAATGCAAAACGATCAAAATCGGGCCGAGTTCACACAAGGTCTAGGCCTTTTCCTGGTATTTCTTCTAGGCCTTTTCCTGGATTCGCAGCAGCCGCAATGCAACCAGCATGAGACAAGATCTACGACATCAACGTGCAACGAGCCAATCAATTTCCATGAGCTACTCAAGCAAAACAAGTGCATCCAAAACTCGCCCAGATAGCGGACACACCTTACACCTTGTTTTCATGCACGGTGACAAACGCAAGTGCATATTGGTTTGGATAGTTGCCGGCCGAGTGATGCATTTCAGCTCATCAGCAGGCGTCCGATCCGGACAGGCTGTACCCTCTTCCACTGCCATTGGAGCGCACGCAGACGAAGGCAGCCTAGAGGAACTACGTCCTGGCAGACATGGCCCAGCTGGCATCGTGGCATCCAAACGGGAGCAAGCGAAGGGCATGAGCCGCAAGGGCACGGAGTTCTTATCCATAATGAAATCCAAGGTCCTTGCTTGGAAGCCCGCAAGTGCGAGCATCCCGCTGCCCGGGAGTGCGAACCCTCAGAAGCAGCGGGACAGCGATCTGGCAGGAGCTTGGCACCTCTACCTGAGCAATCGGGGGTTGTTCACTAGTACATCCTGGGCTCGAAGATCAGCGACAAAAACACAGTGCCGGATGTCCAGCTGATCCTGTCATTCAAGATGATCTGGGACGGGCCCAGCGCATCGTTGAAGATCGAGCTCAGTAAGTCATGGCAAGGACGAACCTAAACAAGTTAGATCTACGCAATCCACAACGGCTCCACACATGGCCTTGCATGATGTCACAGGCAAGCGCATGCTGTCACACTGCTGCGCTGACTCACATGCATCCACAGACCAAGGCTCTCAACAGACGCTGATCAACCATGCATACTAGGAACCAGTGTCGCATCAAGCAAGTCAAGGTTCTACTCACATGTTTTTCTCCACAAAAGAAAGCCTGCTGGCGAGCTCAGTTGCGGCCCTGCCAGGCGACCCGCATGGCATCCTTCCAAGCTCTCATGTGTCGCTCCCACGACCGCTTTGGCATGTCAATCCGCGGAGTGCCGGGGAGCGTCTCATCTTCCAGCCGCACGGCCTTGTAATCCAGGTACTCGAGCTTCAGCTTCGTGCGCTCAATGATGGCTTCCTCGCAAAGTGCTGGGGGGCGAGTTGCCACACGGCATGGGGAGCACAAGCATAGCTCTACAGGCTACCAGTCTATAATTTTTTATAGATCTATAAAGATTGGGGGCTCCAAGTCCAGAATTTTTATAGATCTATAAAAATGAGGGTTTCCCAATGCATAAACCGACAGGGCAAGACCTGACTGAGATCAACCAATGTTGAGTCACGCCCACCTACATCCAGAAGGATGTCAACATCAAAAACCAACCGCGAATCCCATTAACATCGAAACCGCTCTCACACAGGCTGAAGATCGACACATCCATCAACACATCAACATGTTGAATTTTGAATGTATGGCTATTTCTTGTCACTACCAACCTCAGCGGCTGGGCCCTCCCAAATTCCCCACCGGCTATGGTCTCACCCACTGCTCGGCGGGCGCGAAGATGAAGCCATGTGCCCAGCCTAAAGCAATGCAACTCTCAAACAACTCCATCTTCAATTCAATCATATGCCCACAAAACATGCAGAACGAGCTGAAAATTGATGCGCGCCTTAAGGCTTCTTAACGCGCGTATCAATTGTCAGCTTTTGCGTGACAATTCCGGAGGCCCGCACCACAGCCGTCTGACACGTGTCCGCCATCTTCATCGCCTGGGATGCAGATCAATCCATCATGCAATCAAAGCAAAACAATCAGATGACAGCGAGCAAGTGCTGTGCTGTCGAGGCACGACGTCCAAGGCCTTGTTGACTGTCGACCTTGCCTGCCCGCCGCGTGTGCGTGCACGGCTTCGACCAAGTCCCGGCCTCAACCAGGCCGGGTCACAACACAACCGCTCCGCGCCACGATTCCAAGCCCACGACTCCCACCATTCGGCGTTGGCGTCCATGAACCTGACAGCCACGGCTGCGAGGACAGAGGTGGGAGGAAATTCCAAGCATGGGATGGCTCAATCTCATGACTAGCGCACGCAACACGAATGTTCACAAGACTTTGTGGTCGACCTTGCACGAATCAAAGCCCAGCGCCTGTTCCCGAAGTAAAAGCCCCTGCCAGAGCCATCAGGTCGCAGCTCACCTGGCACACATGCAGCGTGGGGCGTGCAACCAGTCTGGCAGCTCTGGCATGTGTCCGAAGTCAAGCTCAGGCTGTGGCTGACCGGAACTCCAGGCCCGGCCACACTGCATGAGGCTGACTTTCGATGGACGCGAACCACCCCACACGTCGTTGCAACACAGCGCATTTGCAACAAGCCTGCTGGGCTGGTACAGGCGGAGAGGGCGGCACCCGCTGTTCAACGGGTGCCGGCGGCGGCGGTGGGGGCGGTGGCGCTCGATCCAAAGCCTGCGCAAGCTCTGCCCACACAGAAGGCAACGCGCCGCAAATTTGTGCAAACTTACTTCCACAACAACTGTTGTCATCACACTTGCCAGATTCAAGGACGCATCAAATGACACACTGCACACACACAAGCCGGCGAACTCGGAGCGAGGTCGTCTCTGCGGGGCGTGGGCTCTTCGACTTCCATGATGCCGGCAGATCCTGAAGGATTGCATGAGAGCCCCAGCATGTTGTGAAAAGGACTGACCGGGCCTTCTTCGTCCTCTTCAGAGGTGGTCCAAAAGCG